ACGATGTAATGCTTGGGTGGGGAAGGCAGATTTTGGAAAAGTTCATCCAAACAATGGGAATCACATTCACTTGGTAATTGTCAACGCTTGTCAGTGTGACATGAAAAACGACAAGCGCAGGTAGTTAAAAATATGTATATATAACAGTTATTCACCAAAGTGGAGGTGTATAGTGGTGGTTACTTACCTCGCCGCTTTCTGCCTCAGTAAATTCCCACCACTAGCCACGGACACTGAAGTGAATCAATGTTTCTGTGTGTACCAAAACAGTGAAATAATTGAGCACAAAAAAGATGATTTTTAACTCATTTACTCTTGTGAGCCATTGCAATTTTCGCACACAATGACCAAACAGCCGCCACGTTTTCTTACCAACAAATAGAACTTTTGACAGCATTTGTTTAGCTCTTTTGGGAAAATTTCGTCCACAATAGTCTCTGTATTTAAAACCATTCTGTAAAGAAAACTATGAAATTTAGTTTTAAGCTTATTTATTCCACCAAAGAAAGTAAGGCAAGACTTAAGATTGCCCCTGAAGATAGAGTGAAAGGAGTTAAAGATCTCGACCTTCATGGTGATATCCTACCAATAGAGCGCGCACTAGGTGTTCAATGGTGCATGGAATCAGACATGTTTCAATTTCAGATCATTTTGCGAGACAGACCCTTGACACGACGTGGAATGCTATCAACCGTTAGTTCCATTGATGACCCCCTGCGATTAATAGCACCAGTGATCCTGACTGGAAGACAAATTCCTCAGGGCCTCTGCAGAGACAGGTCTTACTAGGACAATCCAGTACCTGAGTCATTGCGTCATAAGTGGGAAAGATGAAGAAGCAGCCTTGGAGAAACTGAAGATCCAGAGGTGCTACAAGCCACACACAGTTGGGAAACTCACATACGTACAACTGCAGCACTTCTAGGACACAAGCGACCGTGGATTTTATCTTCTCTGATCGTGTGCACACTTTTCTCACCCACCATGTGACAGTCATAAATAAATTGAAACCAGGCTTGTCTGTCATAAGTCTGTCCACCTGTTTGGTCCTTTATCTTCCTCATAGATGCGTTCCCTGACTCATTACTGACCCAAAATTTTGTTCCTTTTACAGACTGAAAGGTGAAATACTTGCTACTCTGCGTTGTTCTTCAACATTGTCAACCCTGAACAAGAACCTGCATCATTAGGGTCGCAGCCATCGGAACACTGCGTGCAGGAATGAAAAAAAAAAGAATTCAAACATTGTTACTGCCGCATCGTTTACCCACTTGACATCGTAATATATTGTAAAATTCCGAAAATAAGCCCCGGGGCTTATATTTTTCAAAAGCCCTTTCTGATGGGCTTATTTTTGGAGGGGCTTATCTACGGAGGGAAATTTGCGTTTCAAAATCGATTGAGCTAGCCTTACAGTTGGAAGTTAATGTACCCTTTTTGCTTTGTTTTATTTGTTTTTGAGGGCAATTTTCAAAGTACAAGCCCCCAGCGGGCTTATATTTGGAGGGGCGATTTAACGGAGGGTTTTTTGCTTTACCGGTTTGGGGGGCTTATATTTGGAGGCGCTTATATGTGAAGGGGCTTATTTTCGGAATTTTACGGTATAATTTAAAGGCTCAAGTGATTAAAGAACTAATCAGACCTAATAATAAATTCAGCTAGTTATGCTCTGTTGTTTAGGCAAAGGTTGAGGAAGCAGAAGTACATGACGCAAACACTAGCAATAGAATACAAGTAGATACAGCGATGCANTGTCAACATTGTCAACCCTGAACAAGAACCTGCATCATTAGGGTCGCAGCCATCGGAACACTGCGTGCAGTAATGAAAAAAAAAGAATTCAAACATTGTTACTGCCGCATCGTTTACCCAGTTGACATCGTAATATATTGTAAAATTCCGAAAATAAGCCCCGGGGCTTATATTTTTCAAAAGCCCTTTCTGATGGGCTTATTTTTGGAGAGACTTATCTACAGAGGGAAATTTGCGTTTCAAAATCGATTGAGCTAGGCTTACAGTTGGAAGTTAATGTACCCTTTTTGCTTTGTTTTATTTGCTTTTGAGGGCAATTTTCAAAGTACAAGCCCCCAGCGGGCTTATATTTGGAGGGGCGATTTAACGGAGGGTTTTTTGCTTTACCGGTTTGGGGGGCTTATATTTGGAGGCGCTTATATGTGAAGGGGCTTATTTTCGGAATTTTACGGTATAATTTAAAGGCTCAAGTGATTAAAGAACTAATCAGACCTAATAATAAATTCAGCTAGTTATGCTCTGTTGTTTAGGCAAAGGTTGAGGAAGCAGAAGTACATGACGCAAACACTAGCAATAGAATACAAGTAGATACAGCGATGCATGCAACTGATGAAGAGAGGCAAACGATGCAGGTGGATGAGCAAGAAAAAAGTGAGAAGACTAGTGGACCATCGAAGGGAAGTGGCCTTCTGGGACGGGTGCATTAATGGACGGGTGCATTAAACGAGGATGTACAAGGGAGCGAAGCTCTACAGGTGGATGTGGGAGTGTGTTGTGAGGGTCTACAGGTGGATGCAGTCGTGCAGTCTCAAGAAGAGATGCAAATTTCTGATTTAGAACAGGTAGAGGTAGGCACAGTGTTATTAAAAAGAACACTTTTGACACGAGCTTGGAAGTTAATTGTGGAAGCTTCTTTTTCTTCTCTATTTTTTTCTATGTCAGACCAATGAACTATAGCAATGTAGGAATGAATTTGCAACATGCAATACCCTAAAAAATTGAATAATTCAATTGAAAGGAAAAGTGACTAGGCTAAACAGAAAACTGGGCACCAACCAGGACCATTGGGTGCAAACACTCTCAGAAATTCATCAGCAAAATAGGCTACTGATGGTTGGTACAGGTAAGACTGCTTATCTGTTGCAATAATATAAAGTAGTGGTTTTGAAAACAAGTGACAACATTGTGGATCACCAATAACCATTTGAGGTCTACAATTTTATTAAGCTTATATATATACTCAACAAATTATCTCGTCAATTACACTGTTAGAATCACAACAATCATAGTTCAACCATAATTATTAGAGACTGGTCACGAAAAGCGGCAAACATCAAATATAAAAACCACAGTGCTGCAGTTTATGTTCGAAGCTCCCTGAAGGTGCACAATCCTTTGTTTTCTTTTGGCAAATTGTTAGGGAATAAATTAATGCAACGATTTTATTAGTCAATACAATCAAAATGATGGGAATGCTTTTGAACGTTGTGCAATTTCGGAAACACAAAAACATATTGTCACTTACAAGGATAAGACGGAAAAATCCAAGTAAATAACAAGGGTAGAAGAGCAGTGCATAAAAACGGACTTGACGAAAAGTTCTGATTACTAGTGTACAGATTTAGCCAGGACTAAAAGCGAGGCTCCCATTAAAAAATTTATAATGTAAATCAAACAATAAACTTGTATTCCACTTTAGAGCAGATTCATGTGACTTTTAAGGGAAAGGCTAAGTGATTTTAGAGAAAAATAATTTACAAACAGCCCAAGAGTGAACTAAATCTTACATCGTGTTGATAGCCTCATATGCACACCCAAAAACACTGTAGTAATAGCATAGTAGCATAGTAGTAATTTCCTGTTAAGATGATTCAGATGTCCAAACTGATCCAGAAGTGGTTTCTGGCAATGCTGTGTTTGAAGAGAAGCCAACCGAGTAGGATATGGAAATTAATGAGGAAGACAACCGCAATGACTCCTATAATTAAGACCCCACATGGAGCCCTGAGGAAATTGACAAAGAGTATTAACAAAAACATTTTCTTTCACTCTTTTATACTGAGTGGTGGCCAGAACATAATAACATTAAAAGTACCACAATTAATTTAAAAACGAGATGTATAATGCTCAACAACAATAAGTGTAATAATCCTCTAAGCTGGTTGCTTCAAAGAAATAGAAATCAATTCCAAACTATGTATTAATAGTTGGTCTTCTTAAATTACTATCTTTTCTAGACTAGACCTGGCAGGAAAAAATGCAAGAGGAGGAGTCTTTCCATCCAAATTGATCCTGCTGTTCTAGTTCTGCAACTTGTACCTCTTTTCAAACCCAAGGTGGCTGTTACCCCGACTGGAACAATGCTGAGTATTGAAACTTTGTCAGTTGAAATACTTTAATATCTTCTAAAAAATGGCATGGGAAAAGTGACAAGAGTCATCTAAAGTTAAAACTCCCCACTATATCACTAATTGACCATCCATCACTGAGCTCCACTATATCACTGAATTAGGCAAGAGTCAGGGCAACGAATCAATAACAACGTAGCAAACAGGCACGACCTGTTAGAACCAAGAACAGAAATTCGAAGAATAGTAGACAGAGGAGTCAGCTAGATCAGAAAACCCTTAAAGTTAGCAATTTTCAGCATGAACTTGTATCACTCGAAGGTGCTGAGGAAGAACTGGTTGGTTCAAGACAAGAGATTCAGGAATGGAAGGGAAAAATTGAAGACCTGGGAGCTCAAAAGCGAGAACTAGTAAAAGAAATGAATGAGACCCTAAAAGAAAAAGATGAGGAGATAGCCCAAAAACCAAGAGTTGTTTGACCACATTAATCAGCTTGAGAACAGGCTAGGGGAGGTAGGTGCATTGGGAAAGAGCTGGGTGATCTAAGCCAATGATAGAGATCCAGGAAACTCAAAGAACTTAAAAGTAGCGCAGAAGTGGCAATGTGGTTGGTTAAGTCATATGGATTGGAATTGAGCTGCCTCAAAAGGTGTGGATGCAAAACATGGAACCCCTTGCACGATGTAATTTGATATTGAAAACTCCACCACACCCACTCCAACCAGTAATAAACTGGAACAAGTTCTCTTTCTGTTAGATAAATTATGTGCAAGCGACAAACTTTATCATGACCTTTCAATGATATGTGATGACCTCTTAAAGTCTTGTTTAGTTAAACAAAAACGAACTGACTTGAATACGATTTTCACAATTCAACCGGTTCTTGGACAGTACCCAGGAGCCAAGCTCTCTTTCTCAGGGACATTGATTGAACATGTGAGCGAGCTTTTAAAAAATGATCCGTCTTATGACCTTAGTGAATGTGTCAAAATCAACATAAGTGATGGGGCATAAATGTCCAGAAGCAATAACTTCATGATCCTTTTCTTCAAGCCTTCTTCAAAAAAGAAGAAAAGGAAACAGAATAATAGCAGCTGTTAATGGTCCAGAAAAGTAAGACACCATGGAACACTCTTTCTCATCAGCCATCAAAGAAATCCACTCTGTTTTGGAAGCTGGCTCATTGAGGTTGATGGGGAAAGAAGTGAAAATTGAAATTTTTCTGGGAGAATATTACAAGTTTGCTCTCATGGCCAGGGAACTTAGTGGAGCCACATCTACTTATGCTCGTCTTTGGTGCCTGATTCATAAGGTGGATCGATGGAACACTGAAAAGCAATCGAGCATTACCCCTCTAACGAAATGAAAAGCATGACCTTTTGAGTGCAAAGGTATGTTATCAGACAAAATTAATAAGTCATTCAAATCTATACATTTTTTCCGAAAATTATTTGTTAAGACCCCTCGTTTTGTATTTATCTGAAAATAATTGTCTAAAATTGAGTGATTGCAAATTTGAAGTGCTGTTAAGATCCTATGAAATCCTTTTAATTGGTGTCTCTAAACAGGGAAACTGCGAGTTTACATCAATGGCGTTTGACTGTGTTACTGCATATTTATATAGCACTTTAACTTTTACCAGTTTAGCAGCTAAGCCCAGCCAGATATTTTACTGAGGATGACTGCAAACTAAAGCATAATTAATATTTAACTGTCTTCAGGCAGCAGAAACCCGAAAGATTGAAGCTGCTGGACAAAGGAAGAAGCCAAAAGGGGGAAATGTATGTATATGTTCTGTTGTATGTTGTCAGTTTTATTGAGGACATATACACCTTTATGTACATCTTCCACACCCACATACTGACCCTGTGTTTAACATGTAGTCTTGCTGTTGTGTAAAGTTCTTGTATATTTGTTGTCTATAGAGTTAACAAATTGAATAATTTATTTTGCAGTCATCTTTTGAGGAAATGAGTGGAGGGTCATCAGAAACAGAAAATAGCACTCAGGGTGGTGATACCCCATGGGGGGGGGGGGACTTGGGTATTTTATGGGTGGGTATGTGCCGCCTGGGACTCCAAATTGGCACCCCGTTCTAAAAAAAATTTCCCCTAAAATTGATACCCCGTTCTAGAATTCGCCCTAAAACTGATACCCCGTTCTAGAAATGGGCCAATTTTTAATACTCCGTTCTAAGGTGCAAAGAGTACAACAGTTTGCTTGTTAACACATTGAACCGTATTTTTAAAAGCAATCTGTCCTTGAATAATTTCAGTGGGCTGCTTACAAAACTGGAGCTTTCGTGCGTTCGAAATATTATACCCCGTTCTAGAAAACGTCTCTGAAATGGATACCCCGTTCTAAATCAGGAGCTTCAAAATCACGACCCCGTTGGGGGGCACATATCCGTATAGGTAATGTATGGGAGTACCCCCCCCCCCCCGGGTGATACAGATTCAGTTGAGGATGAAGATGAGGAAGAAAACATGTTAAAGTCACCCCCTCCCTCTCAAGTTTCCCAATTACCTGCTGTAAGTTGACTCAAGAATGGAAATCAAACTTAAAGGCAAATCAGCTAATAGTAAGGGATGTTTTCAATAGAGTGCTGAACTGGGAAAAAAGATTGACGTCTTGAAAAAAAAGTTTTCTGCACGGCAGAAGAATCTGACTGGGTTAAAGCCTAAGAGCTTATGTCTGTCTTGGCTAAAAAACTTACCTGAAGTGGATATTGCAGTTTGAAAGTAAAACACGCAGAAGTTAAAAGCAAAGATGACTTAACCATTATAAAGGAGACTGCATTTTAGTCCAGCAGGTTTTAGTTCAGGTTATAGGGTGTTAGATCTTAGTATAACCAACTGTCTCAAGATAAAGTTTGTGAAGGGAGAGTAAAGTATAGAGCAACTAAAGAGGCCCAGATGTAACCTGCATGGCTGGCGTTAAGAGAAGGAAGGGGAAGGGGGAATTTGGGCATGCAAAAGCACCTGGGGCGCGCGAGAAAGGAAAGGCATGAAAATAGTGATTGGTCAGAATTTACTGTCAATTTTTGACTAATTTCTTTTTCTCGACTGGTTGAAATCAACATCACACCATTTGAGTAACTAAACATGTTGTTAGTGAACTGAGATGAGATTTCTCTACAGGAATTCATCGTTAGAAGGCATCAATTTCAGCTTAAAAAGAGAGTAGAAAAAAGCCGTTAAAGAACCGTATGAAGGAAAAGGTCTGTCAGCAGATGAGTTTTACTGACTGGTTCTGAAAAGTATCATCTCCCAACGGCTTGTTTGTTTTACTCGCCAGAGGAAAGAAAGGAAAAATCATGTTGCCTGTGTGCTTGTTATCTGCTGTTTGACCCGCATTATCAACGGCAAGATAATTGAAGACGAAGTGATCTATAACATTTGGCAATTTTTCGTTGAGGACTTCTTCTTGCTGGTTATAAAACTGCCAGGAACTTACTTTAATAATAACTTGTTGCCTTCTTGCAGATCTTTGAAGTTCAGCTCTTCTTTCCCCGCCACCAGCGTTCTTTTTGTGCTCCGCTGGATCCAATTCGTCTTGATAGAAATTCAGAGAGTGTGTGACGGCAAAGTGTTTTATTTTTTTTTAGACAAACATTGCATTGAAAGTTGCAAAGAGCCGCTACATTTCTTATTAAATAGTTTTCCAGCCCGATTCCTTCAGCAACAAGTTGAATAGATTTATGCTGGATTTTATGTAACTCGACACACATCGTTGCAACTTTCAAGAAAGATTCCTTCAATGGACAACCTTTACTTTATATATCTTGTTTTAGGAAAACAAAAGAAAAACAGTGCGAGAAATATGACTAGAATACATGCATTGCGGCTAGACTTATTTGACAGCTACTCATTCACAGTTGCATTATTTTTGTTTTTTTTTTTAATTAGTAGGCGGGATGGCGAAAACAATGGCTTCCTTGCAGGTGTTCCCCTCTTCTCCCCTCCCTCGCGCATGGTCTCACGTCCTAATTCCCTTCCCCTTCCATTTCCAACTTCTGCAACGCAGGCTAGCCCAGATGTAAATTGATTATTTTTAATAGAAGTAATAATAATTATTGTTATTACCTATTTAACAGTTTTCAATGCCTTAATATTTTGCTCTTTGTTTTCTTTCATAAACATTGGAAGTATTACTAAATTAAAAAAATATTTGATTCTGATACATCACAGTTGGAGTATGAAAAGAGCTGTTGGTTTGTGTTCAGCTCACGACTTTGTTGGTCTTTATTGCTTTTGCTTAGATTTGAGGTCCATTTTTGGAGAAAAATCCTTGGTTGTCAGTATAGTTTTCTTGACACCATGATAACAGACATCTTCTGTAGATCTGCAAAAGAAACTAGTAGAATATTATTGTTCCTTTAATAATACAAGAAAGCTAGGAAGTAACACAAACAACTGCTGTTAATTCTTTAAAACAAACCATGTTGTTGATTATAATTACTATGCTATTTATGAAGGCCACTGCAAGATAACAGTTAAAACTGGACTAAATCAAGGACCAAAACAATCTCTTGAGCTGTCATTTAACTCTGCAGCCGCTAGTCTTTCAGTTTTCAATAAAGAACTAATTATATACGTGTAGATTATGAGATTATCACTAAGATCATTTAGAAGAATTGAAAGTTAACTTATCCCCTTGTTCTGATACCAACTTAGACACTTCTCAACATTTTCAGACTTGAGTTTTTAATAAAAGTTATTGTTGAAAATTCCGACTGTGATGATTATTTGACTGACCATTCATTTTGTTGTTCGATTCTTATATGGGCATGGGTTTAGAGGGATTGGAAAGATCTAAAGGTTCTTCAGTCTGTTGAAAGCTAGAACTATGTCATTGTCCTAACAAAATATGTTAGAGTAATTTGTGGGACATAAAAACCCTATGTCAGTATAATTATTGGGTCATAAAAACCCCTTGTCAGCTTTATTACTGGGAAATAAGAACCCCATGACAGGGTAAATACTGGGATGTAAAAAACCCACGTCAGGGTAAATGCTGGGACAAAAAACCCATTTTCGGGAATTTACTGAGACAAAAAAACCCATGTCAGGAGAATAAATGGGACTTAAATACCCCACATCAGGGTGATTATTGGGACATAAAAACCCCGTGACAGGGTAATAAATGGGACATTAATACCCCACGACAGGGTTATTACTGGGACATAAAAACCCCATATCTGGATATGATTGGAATATTGTTGTCCCATACATGGTTTTGGTAGTATTTTCAGAATCTGGGAAATCAACACTAAAAACCCAAAGGAATCCCTGAAACATCCCATTTTTGTACCAAACTGAGAATTACCAAACATTTCGTGTGAGAGGAAGAGCGCATTGGACTCCAATGTGTTGATGGCCATCAAGACTAAGCATCAAATGGAACATATACCTTTAGAAATATATGTATTACTGAATATTCTTCACTTGTTTTAAATGCCCAATTAAACAATATATAGCGTCATTTTGCTTAAGTAATGTTCACTTACATTGGACAGACATCGTCAGTATAATAGACTTAATATTTGTCAGCATGATTTTCATAGGAAAATTGTGCTGGCAAAGAGTAATATTGATTGGGGTGCGTAGGAACAGCATGGTTTCAATAAATAAATAATAAAAATAGGAAACCCAGTTTATCAAAACAAGATCAATTCCCCAGCTTTTCTTTCACTAACAACTAAAAGTATCACTGGTAATTCAGAAATAATTTTATTGTTTTTGCCCAGGTTTAAGATAACACCTGTGAATGCACATAGAAGTATACAAGAATATTATTTAATTTGCATATAAAAACGTCAGTTAAAATAATTGTGTGAAGTCAAATATACTACATATATTCTTCACTTTGCTGTCAAAGGATACTGTGCTAATAATAATATTATCATTATTACGTGTGGCAATTGTTTCAATCTATACGCCCTATTTTTATTTCAGCCCATCTGTTTTTAAAGGTTCCACTCCAGCCAGGTGAAAGCCTTGACGCTGAATGGGCCAAGTTGGCAAAAAGCATAAACTGCAAATGCAGGGCATTTAGAAAGGGCTGATACAAGCAAAGCCGGAGAAGAGTGCCACAATCTGAATTTGTTGACGGTTATTTTACATTAATTTTCGACAAAATTGTAATACAAGCTTTACAAGAATGTTGATAATATTTTACGTATTTTTCTGAAAATTAGTGTGGTAGCAAATATAAAGTTTTGATGACAATTCATGATTTTGTTGCGTGATTAAGCAGCAGTTATAAATACTTAATTAAAAAGTATTAAAATCACACTTTGTTGAAACCAAGAAAGAAGTTTGACAAGGTGTGAAAAAGATGTTGGATTTTACTTAACTTACACATTTATAAGTGTTATCACACATGTGATCACACTTAATATTTCTTGATTCACACTTTTAAATCACACGTTCACACTTCTCACTCATCACACTTCTTAGAAGTGTGATTTGAAGAGTGAGCCACACTTCTAAGAAAAAATCACACTCGTGATCACACGTGATCACAGTTTTTTTTTTGCACAGCAAGGGCAAGTATACCACTTAAGTCACCAACAAAAAAAGTCCACATCACCATTTTCTGGGGCACCTATGCATCCTTGGCACAGGTCAAATGGGTAAAGATCTCGATCGATCGATTGAGTGCACTAATGTCTCATCTGTGTAGCATCGACCCCACATTTACCTTTGGGAAGTGAGAAGTAACCCCTTTCTGCTACAGGCATTTGTTCCTAACGTCTAAAAGAACCCAATTGCACAATTCCAAAGAAATTGTATCGAAAAGCTTAACACTAAACAAAAAACAGACAACCGTTTTTCTATACACGATTTTAATAAGTCTGGACACCATCTTGAATTTTTAATTTATGACGTCATTCGCGAAAAGACTTCAGCTGCCATCTTTGAGTTTTGACTCGCGTGACATTTCCATGTCAGGACGAGAGGCAAAGTCAGGCCATTATGAATCGCTTTATTTCATTCTTTTCCTCTATAAACATTAACAAATACCAGCGAATCCTTTTTCCAGGCTAAAGTAATCGCAGTTGTGCGNAATGTGTTGATGGCCATCAAGACTAAGCATCAAATGGAACATATACCTTTAGAAATATATGTATTACTGAATATTCTTCACTTGTTTTAAATGCCCAATTAAACAATATATAGCGTCATTTTGCTTAAGTAATGTTCACTTACATTGGACAGACATCGTCAGTATAATAGACTTAATATTTGTCAGCATGATTTTCATAGGAAAATTGTGCTGGCAAAGAGTAATATTGATTGGGGTGCGTAGGAACAGCATGGTTTCAATAAATAAATAATAAAAATAGGAAACCCAGTTTATCAAAACAAGATCAATTCCCCAGCTTTTCTTTCACTAACAACTAAAAGTATCACTGGTAATTCAGAAATAATTTTATTGTTTTTGCCCAGGTTTAAGATAACACCTGTGAATGCACATAGAAGTATACAAGAATATTATTTAATTTGCATATAAAAACGTCAGTTAAAATAATTGTGTGAAGTCAAATATACTACATATATTCTTCACTTTGCTGTCAAAGGATACTGTGCTAATAATAATATTATCATTATTACGTGTGGCAATTGTTTCAATCTATACGCCCTATTTTTATTTCAGCCCATCTGTTTTTAAAGGTTTCACTCCAGCCAGGTGAAAGCCTTGACGCTGAATGGGCCAAGTTGGCAAAAAGCATAAACTGCAAATGCAGGGCATTTAGAAAGGGCTGATACAAGCAAAGCCGGAGAAGAGTGCCACAATCTGAATTTGTTGACGGTTATTTTACATTAATTTTCGACAAAATTGTAATACAAGCTTTGCAAGAATGTTGATAATATTTTACGTATTTTTCTGAAAATTAGTGTGGTAGCAAATATAAAGTTTTGATGACAATTCATGATTTTGTTGCGTGATTAAGCAGCAGTTATAAATACTTAATTAAAAAGTATTAAAATCACACTTTGTTGAAACCAAGAAAGAAGTTTGACAAGGTGTGAAAAAGATGTTGGATTTTACTTAACTTACACATTTATAAGTGTTATCACACATGTGATCACACTTAATATTTCTTGATTCACACTTTTAAATCACACGTTCACACTTCTCACTCATCACACTTCTTAGAAGTGTGATTTGAAGAGTGAGCCACACTTCTAAGAAAAAATCACACTCGTGATCACACGTGATCACAGTTTTTTTTTTGCACAGCAAGGGCAAGTATACCACTTAAGTCACCAACAAAAAAAGTCCACATCACCATTTTCTGGGGCACCTATGCATCCTTGGCACAGGTCAAATGGGTAAAGATCTCGATCGATCGATTGAGTGCACTAATGTCTCATCTGTGTAGCATCGACCCCACATTTACCTTTGGGAAGTGAGAAGTAACCCCTTTCTGCTACAGGCATTTGTTCCTAACGTCTAAAAGAACCCAATTGCACAATTCCAAAGAAATTGTATCGAAAAGCTTAACACTAAACAAAAAACAGACAACCGTTTTTCTATACACGATTTTAATAAGTCTGGACACCATCTTGAATTTTTAATTTATGACGTCATTCGCGAAAAGACTTCAGCTGCCATCTTTGAGTTTTGACTCGCTTGACATTTCCATGTCAGGACGAGAGGCAAAGTCAGGCCATTATGAATCGCTTTATTTCATTCTTTTCCTCTATAAACATTAACAAATACCAGCGAATCCTTTTTCCAGGCTAAAGTAATCGCAGTTGTGCGGTTTGTCTTTGCAAGTCATACAGCGATATCATGTTGGATAACAAATGCAACACTAAGAATGTGACATAAGATTCCAAGCGATCAGCATGTATTAAAAGCTAGCATGGCTGCAGCAAATTAAAAGGCAGGAGTACTCGACCGTAAAGGTGTGTAACTTGGTCTTTTTGTGTGCGAGTTCTCATTTGTACTGCTATATTCATCTCCCAAATATTGCTTTTTTGCTACGGGCAGAAACATACAATCGTCTGTTCTTTTCATTTTGGGGATGATGAGTTCGGAAGTATTGTATTGTTGTTTAATACTGGTCGGTAACATTTGAAAACGTGCAGCTTCCCCTTGATCAGTGTTTAAATGCCCTGTACACAAGCCATACCTTATCCCTAAGATATAAAATAAGTTGAACAGGAATCTGATTCAAGGGAAACCAAATATGGTAAACACCACAGGAGTGAGATGTGTGTGTTGAACCAAATGATGCTGAGCAACACAGCTTACACGAATCCGACACTGAAATTTCTGAACTATAATCTGAAATATTAGCACTAAAGGTAGAAGGTAAACACTTGCTAAATATTAAAGTGAGATGTAACCAGTCTTTTTTTAAGAATATTGAAGACAGCACCACTTTAATCCTGCCCAACCCAAATGACCCTGAAAAAGCTCAGGCTTACCATTAACTATGTGACAATAAAACCGTGGATCAGAACTTGCCTTCTCAGGTGTCAAGTTTCATAATGTAAAAGGGCATTTGATTTCTAATAAACCAGGAAACAACATAAAATATTAAGAAGATATAGTTATTTCTGATCGATTCAGGATTGGAATGGGCTCTCAACAAAACAAGGTGAAAAGTTGTCACAATGCTATCATGGAAAAGACAGAACTGTAGGAGCAAAAAAAAAAAAATCAGCAAAAACAGGTGGATGTTTTTGGTGTATTTTTTTACGTTTTGTAAAGAAGGATGAATGGAATGTTTCCTTTTTCACGAGGCCAAACGAAGATTTAAAAAAAAGGTTATTTTACCAAATATACGCTCTTCACAAAATGAGTCATTAAGTGACCATAAGTGCAACAAGAAAAGGAAACAACTTGGGCAGAACCCTAAGAAGTTAGACTGCCCAGCACAAATATGTTTAAAAGAGGTCATGTTCTTCCCAACATTCAAGGTAATAATGAACTAATAACTATGTAATCAATGGCTTTGTGTGTTGGGGACAGAGGAATTTGCATAATATTGGAAATAAAATTTGTGAGTGTCCCCCCTTGCCCCACCCCTAATTTGAAACATAAAATGCCTGGTTAAGTGAGCCTTCCTCCCCATTCCTACTGGCAACACACAACAAAACGTCTAGACACCCATTAGAAGGAAAAATGTACCACCCTAATAAAGTAAGAATACTAGAAATCCAAACAATCAGAAACAAAATACAAAGTCAAGTCTAAGGGAAGTGACACAATAGTATTACTCAAAGCCCAACATGTTTATTGATTGGAAATGTCTTCTTTTGTTTAAGATTCCTGGAGATAGTGAGAGAAAGCGAAAGTCCAGTTCATCAATGCTACGAGCTGCAATTAAAGGCAATGATGTGGTGAAAAGTGAAGGGAGAATTTACACTCGTTTTCCCGAAAAAGGCAGCCACAGAAACCACATTATTGAGGAGGTTGGAATACATTAACTTGTTTTCATTGATTCATAGTATTGTATTCTTAGAAATGTTTCACAGTCCAAAATAACTCATTAATATATGCATTCTCTTAAAAATCTCAGGCAGGTGGTATTCAACAACAAATTGAACAAATGGTTGGTCAGAAAATCCAGTATCTAGTGGGAAGTGGCATCTAAGTGTCCATGAAATGAGACGCCACCTGAGGGAGTACCTTGCTAATGACCTGTTTTGTGGCCAAGAAATACCGCCCACTTACAATTGACGCTACTTTCCGACCAAAAAGGACATACACAATCACATCTACAGGACTATGGTGCAAAACAGATTTTAAAAATGTGACCTGACTAATGTGTCTGTGAAAGTTTGTGAGTGGCAGAGGCAACATCCACAGGACCTGTTTTACTTTCGCCTCTATGCAGCAAGACAGGGTCAGGCAGAAAGTGATATTGCTGTGCCTGATTGTGCTAACATCAAAGATGATAATTACTATGACGAAGACGTTAAACTGACTAGTAACACCTGCAAACAGTCTCTTCTTTTTCTCACCAAACCACTTGGCAAAGAAGACTTCTAAAAGAAATATTGCAACAACATCTGCCTGCTGGATGTAACCTATCGCACCACCAGGTACTCACTGCCGCTATTCTTCCTGGCTGTTTAAACTAATGTAGATTACCAGGTGGTTGGATCATTCAGCATGAGACAATTGAAGCAATAGCAGAGGCTCTACACACATTTAAGCAGTGGAACAAATCATGGAAGCCACAGTTCTTTATGACCGACTTAAGTGAGCAAGAAATTAATGTTGTTGAGAAATTTTCCCAGGTATGTAATGAATAAATCATTCATACATCGCAGCTTCAAAAAGTAGACCAAAAACAATAACAGTGATAATAGAAATAACAATGATGGAAATAATAAATATTATTATAAATATTAATATAACAGTAATAATTATTTAAATTCCCAAAGGGATTTTCGAAAAAACTGTTAGGATATCTAAAATAATACAATATTTGAATTAACCCCTTAACCCCCAATATCCACATACAAATTCTCCACATTGATCTTCACACATTTCCTCAAAGAACTAGTGGATAGAACGTGTTAAATGATCAAAACATTTTCTCTTTGGAGATCATTTTACTCATTATCATAACCTACTTTATAATGTATTGATATTATTATGAGAAAATTGCTGTTCATCACCCTTGTGACTTAGATGGTATAATATTTATTAAGAAAAATTTTCACTGAAGCAAATGAGTACAAATATTTATGGGAAGGAATAAAAAGTTGATTTTTACATTGTAGTAATATCTATTAATTCCTATCCAGGCACTATACTATATTTATGTGACTTCCACCGTGAACAAGCATGGGAGCAATGGGTGTCCAAAGCACCCAATGGTGTCAGTGACTGCAAAGAGGAGGTCCTCACTCACATACGAAGAGTTGCCCATGCCAGCTCATCACCAAAGTATGAAGATGCAGTCAAGGCCTTGATGGCAAGTTCTGTCTGAGTTGAGAACCCAAAGCTGCAATGTTGGTTTCAAAAAACATGGTCGAGTCATTACAAGGTATACAAAAAAAGAAAAAAAGAAAAGAATTATCAGTACTTGATTTCTATGGATGAGAGAAACTGACAACTGATGTTTCAATACTAAACAACAGTAAATTTTCGTGTATGGGTATTCCGGTGTGAACACTTCATTCTTGGTGTGAACACAAACAATGGACTGGAGAGACAAAAACAAGTCTTCAAGTATGCATACCTTCACGACCACAAAAATAACAGGTTGAGTTGAATGTTGACCATCCTCAGTGAAGAGTTCCTTCCTGACAATTACAAAAGGTAGGAATTAAACAGCCTGCATTAAACATTTCATTATGATATAGTAATGACAAGAACTGTGATAAAATTCACTCGGAATAATCCTTAAATTTGACATTATAAACTCACACTATAAAAAATATAAAATAATAATAAAATAAAGATTCAAAATGTTGCAGGAAACCCTAAATGACATTTAAAAATCTGACTTCCCTGCAATTATTTTGATTTTTATTTAAGGTATGTGGAGATGAATGTGAAGTACTCCCAAGGATATCGCAAGTATAAATCAGACATTCCTTCATTTTTAGTGAACAGGCCGAGAATATTAGTTCTGCATTGTCAAGAGAGGATTTTCGCAGCCAAGGATATTAAGAGCCAACACATCGAGTGCATTGATATCTCTAAAGGAACATTTAACATCAAGAGTCAAAGCCAGGATGGTTCCTGGTATGTCTTGAGTTTTGGAGATTCTGAGACCATGTGCCATTGTGGATGTCCATACTGGCAAAAGTGGTGGCTGCCCTGCAAGCAACTTCATTGCCATATTCAATACTTATCCAGCATAGCAATGGGAAAACTTATCATCACTCTACCTTAACTCTCCTTTCTTCTCATTGGATGAGGAGCTCATCAAAAAGCTACAATCACCCTGCAACATGACCAGCTCCCAAACTGCTGAAGAACCATTGACAACTCCACACCTAGAAGAACCACAAGAACAACGAAACATCTCAGAAAAGCATTCACCTGTTGATCAATGCACTTCAGATTCGAAAACCCCTCCGACTCTTGATGTTGAAGAAGACCTTCCTACCCACCCAAAAAATGACAGGAACGAGGGAGCTCGGTGCTGCGATCTACTGGTCCAGTTAAGATGTGCTACTCACTTGGTCCACGACTCAGAGGCTTTGACTTCACTACAACTTAAATTAGTCCAAGCACTATCTGAAGTTAGATGAGGATGGCATAGACCTGGAAGTTCCAGCTGAAAAAGAGCCCTTTAAAAGTAAACATGCCATCAGTAAAGATCAATTCTGCGATTTACCCCAACCTCCAAAAAGGGCCAAATATGTTGGACGACATGGTAAAAAGACAAGTGAAAACAAAATGCTTACTGGGATCAAAACTGGTGTCAAGCAATTGAAAAAAACCAAAACATCACCATCATCAGTGAAAAGATCAACTGAAGTCAACATCATCAAACTAACACCAGCAGAAAAACAACAACCAAACCTTTCCTTAGGTAGCCTCCCCGCAGACGTCTTTTGGGGTTCGTTTGTCACGCATTCATTTCTCCCCCACGGACGTCTGCTAAACAGAGCCGACATTTGTGTTCACCAATCACAAGCCGTTTACGGTTTTTTGTAAAACGTAACCCGAGCCGCTTGTTCAGATTCGCGCGAAAACATGGCCGACATTAGTAAAGCTCTTGATCGGGTGTGTGAGAAATTTGGAATTACGGAGTTAAACAAGTATCAGAAAGAAGCTATCCTGCAAATAGTACAGAGGAAGACTGATGTGTTCATAAATTTGCCAACGGGATTTGGGAAATCCCTTATATATCAAGCTTTGCCGCTTGTTTGTGACACGGTGCGTGGAACTACTGGACATATTGTTGTTGTTGTTTCGCCCCTAGTCAATCTTATGAAGGATCAAGTTGGAAAGCTGGTAAATATTGGCATTCCTGCTGTAACGCTAAGTGATATTAGTGAAGATAATATGAAGGCTGTCGAGAGAGGGGCTTTCTCTGTCGTTTATGGAAGCCCAGAAGCGTGGTTGAAGATCGATCGGTGGAGGAAAATGTTAGCGAGTGATTTGTACAGAAAGAAACTTTGTGCTTTCGCAGTTGACGAAGCACATGTTGTAAAGCAGTGGTAAGTGAAATAACATTGTTATTATTCGTTGATTTACATGTGATTATAATAGACAAAATTTCTAAGCAGCGTTAATCGATAAAATTGTAAACTTTTGGATGAAAGATTTCCGCCTGTGTCATCAGTGAATGAATGATGAGTGAGCTTTATTTAAGTGTCAGAGAATTTAAGGCCCGTTTACACGTTAAAAGAGAAGGAACGGCTCGGTTAGAAACAAGTACCGGTTCCAGACAAAATCTCCTGTTTACACGTACGAATTCTGTAATGTGCTCAACAGAAAAAGGCACGGTACTTGAGAGCCCCTTGTAACGGGTACTAGACTGTTTACACGTTGTTTTCTTCGAGACCGGTAACAATAGAGCCCGTGATAATTAAATAAAACTGCTTCGATTAGTTGTTCATATGCACTTACACAAACAGTAGACTGTGCGTATCTCCGACAATCATTGATGCAGGTTTACAAGCACTTTTCTGGTTTCTTCTAAATGTTCGATTCTTATATGGGCATGGGTTTAGAGGGATTGGAAAGATCTAAAGGTTCTTCAGTCTGTTGAAAGCTAGAACTATGTCATTGTCCTAACAAAATATGTTAGAGTAATTTGTGGGACATAAAAACCCCATGTCAGTATAATTATTGGGTCATAAAAACCCCATTGTCAGCTTTATTACTGGGAAATAAGAACCCCATGACAGGGTAAATACTGGGATGTAAAAAACCCACGTCAGGGTAAATGCTGGGACAAAAACCCCATTTTCGGGAATTTACGGAGACAAAAAAACCCATGTCAGGAAAATAAATGGGACTTAAATACCCCACATCAGGGTGATTATTGGGACATAAAAACCCCATGACAGGGTAATAAATGGGACATTAATACCCCACGACAGGGTTATTACTGGGACATAAAAACCCCATATCTGGATATGATTGGAATATTGTTGTCCCATACATGGTTTTGGTAGCATTTTCAGAATCTGGGAAATCAACACTAAAAACCCAAAGGAATCCCTGAAACATCCCATTTTTGTACCAAACTGAGAATTACCAAACATTTCGTGTGAGAGGAAGAGCGCATTGGACTCCAATGTGTTGATGGCCATCAAGACTAAGCATCAAATGGAACATATACCTTTAGAAATATATGTATTACTGAATATTCTTCACTTGTTTTAAATGCCCAATTAAACAATATATAGCGTCATTTTGCTTAAGTAATGTTCACTTACATTGGACAGACATCGTCAGTATAATAGACTTAATATTTGTCAGCATGATTTTCATAGGAAAATTGTGCTGGCAAAGAGTAATATTGATTGGGGTGCGTAGGAACAGCATGGTTTCAATAAATAAATAATAAAAATAGGAAACCCAGTTTATCAAAACAAGATCAATTCCCCAGCTTTTCTTTCACTAACAACTAAAAGTATCACTGGTAATTCAGAAATAATTTTATTGTTTTTGCCCAGGTTTAAGATAACACCTGTGAATGCACATAGAAGTATACAAGAATATTATTTAATTTGCATATAAAAACGTCAGTTAAAATAATTGTGTGAAGTCAAATATACTACATATATTCTTCACTTTGCTGTCAAAGGATACTGTGCTAATAATAATATTATCATTATTACGTGTGGCAATTGTTTCAATCTATACGCCCTATTTTTATTTCAGCCCATCTGTTTTTAAAGGTTTCACTCCAGCCAGGTGAAAGCCTTGACGCTGAATGGGCCAAGTTGGCAAAAAGCATAAACTGCAAATGCAGGGCATTTAGAAAGGGCTGATACAAGCAAAGCCGGAGAAGAGTGCCACAATCTGAATTTGTTGACGGTTATTTTACATTAATTTTCGACAAAATTGTAATACAAGCTTTGCAAGAATGTTGATAATATTTTACGTATTTTTCTGAAAATTAGTGTGGTAGCAAATATAAAGTTTTGATGACAATTCATGATTTTGTTGCGTGATTAAGCAGCAGTTATAAATACTTAATTAAAAAGTATTAAAATCACACTTTGTTGAAACCAAGAAAGAAGTTTGACAAGGTGTGAAAAAGATGTTGGATTTTACTTAACTTACACATTTATAAGTGTTATCACACATGTGATCACACTTAATATTTCTTGATTCACACTTTTAAATCACACGTTCACACTTCTCACTCATCACACTTCTTAGAAGTGTGATTTGAAGAGTGAGCCACACTTCTAAGAAAAAATCACACTCGTGATCACACGTGATCACAGTTTTTTTTTTGCACAGCAAGGGCAAGTATACCACTTAAGTCACCAACAAAAAAAGTCCACATCACCATTTTCTGGGGCACCTATGCATCCTTGGCACAGGTCAAATGGGTAAAGATCTCGATCGATCGATTGAGTGCACTAATGTCTCATCTGTGTAGCATCGACCCCACATTTACCTTTGGGAAGTGAGAAGTAACCCCTTTCTGCTACAGGCATTTGTTCCTAACGTCTAAAAGAACCCAATTGCACAATTCCAAAGAAATTGTATCGAAAAGCTTAACACTAAACAAAAAACAGACAACCGTTTTTCTATACACGATTTTAATAAGTCTGGACACCATCTTGAATTTTTAATTTATGACGTCATTCGCGAAAAGACTTCAGCTGCCATCTTTGAGTTTTGACTCGCGTGACATTTCCATGTCAGGACGAGAGGCAAAGTCAGGCCATTATGAATCGCTTTATTTCATTCTTTTCCTCTATAAACATTAACAAATACCAGCGAATCCTTTTTCCAGGCTAAAGTAATCGCAGTTGTGCGGTTTGTCTTTGCAAGTCATACAGCGATATCATGTTGGATAACAAATGCAACACTAAGAATGTGACATAAGATTCCAAGCGATCAGCATGTATTAAAAGCTAGCATGGCTGCAGCAAATTAAAAGGCAGGAGTACTCGACCGTAAAGGTGTGTAACTTGGTCTTTTTGTGTGCGAGTTCTCATTTGTACTGCTATATTCATCTCCCAAATATTGCTTTTTTGCTACGGGCAGAAACATACAATCGTCTGTTCTTTTCATTTTGGGGATGATGAGTTCGGAAGTATTGTATTGTTGTTTAATACTGGTCGGTAGCATTTGAAAACGTGCAGCTTCCCCTTGATCAGTGTTTAAATGCCCTGTACACAAGCCATACCTTATCCCTAAGATATAAAATAAGTTGAACAGGAATCTGATTCAAGGGAAACCAAATATGGTAAACACCACAGGAGTGAGATGTGTGTGTTGAACCAAATGATGCTGAGCAACACAGCTTACACGAATCCGACACTGAAATTTCTGAACTATAATCTGAAATATTAGCACTAAAGGTAGAAGGTAAACACTTGCTAAATATTAAAGTGAGATGTAACCAGTCTTTTTTTAAGAATATTGAAGACAGCACCACTTTAATCCTGCCCAACCCAAATGACCCTGAAAAAGCTCAGGCTTACCATTAACTATGTGACAATAAAACCGTGGATCAGAACTTGCCTTCTCAGGTGTCAAGTTTCATAATGTAAAAGGGCATTTGATTTCTAATAAACCAGGAAACAACATAAAATATTAAGAAGATATAGTTATTTCTGATCGATTCAGGATTGGAATGGGCTCTCAACAAAACAAGGTGAAAAGTTGTCGCAATGCCATCATGGAAAAGACAGAACTGTAGGAGCAAAAAAAAAAATCAGCAAAAACAGGTGGATGTTTTTAGTGTATTTTTTTACGTTTTGTAAAGAAGGATGAATGAAATGTTTCCTTTTTCACAAGGCCAAACGAAGATTTAACAAAAGGTTATTTTACCAAATATACGCTCTTCACAAAATGAGTCGTTAAGTGACAATAAGTGCAACAAGAAAAGGAAACAACTTGGGCAGAACCCTAAGAAGTTAGACTGCCCAGCACAAGTATGTTTAAAAGAGGTCATGTTCTTGCCAACATTCAAGGTAATAATGAACTAATAACTATGTAATCAATGGCTTTGTGTGTTGGGGACAGAGGAATTTGCATAATATTGGAAATAAAATTTGTGAGTGTGCCCCCTTGCCCCACCCCTAATTTGAAACATAAAATGCCTGGTTGAGTGAGCCTTCCTCCCCATTCCTACTGGCAACACACAGCAAAACGTCTAGACACCCATTAGAAGGAAAAATGTACCACCCTAATAAAGTAAGAATACTAGAAATCCAAACAATCAGAAACAAAATACAAAGTCAAGTCTAAGGGAAGTGACACAATAGTATTACTCAAAGCCCAACATGTTTATTGATTGGAAATGTCTTCTTTTGTTTAAGATTCCTGGAGATAGTGAGAGAAAGCGAAAGTCCAGTTCATCAATGCTACGAGCTGCAATTAAAGGCAATAATGTGGTGAAAAGTGAAGGGAGAATTTACACTCGTTTTCCCGAAAAAGGCAGCCACAGAAACCACATTATTGAGGAGGTTGGAATACATTAACTTGTTTTCATTGATTCATAGTATTGTATTCTTAGAAATGTTTCACAGTCAAAAATAACTCATTAATATATGCATTCTCTTAAAAATCTCAGGCAGGTGGTATTCAACAACAAATGGAACAAATGGTTGCTCAGAAAATCCAGTATCTAGTGGGAAGTGGCATCTAAGTGTCCATGAAATGAGACGCCACCTGAGGGAGTACCTTGCTAATGACCTGTTTTGTGGCCAAGAAATACCGCCAACTTACAATTGACGCTACTTTCTGACCAGAAGGACATACACAATCACATCTACAGGACTATGGTGCAAAACAGATTTTCAAAATGTGACCTGACTAATGTGTCTGTGAAAGTTTGTGAGTGGCAGAGGCAACATCCACAGGACCTGTTTTGCTTTCGCCTCTATGCAGCAAGACAGGGTCAGGCAGAAAGTGATATTGCTGTGCCTGATTGTGCTAACGTCAAAGATGATAATTACTATGACGAAGACGTTAAACTGACTAGTAACACCTGCAAACAGTCTCTTCTTTTTCTCACCAAACCACTTGGCAAAGAAGACTTCTAAAAGAAATATTGCAACAACATCTGCCTGCTGGATGTAACCTATCGCACCACCAGGTACTCACTGCCGCTATTCTTCCTGGCTGTTTAAACTAATGTAGATTACCAGGTGGTTGGATCATTCAGCATGAGACAACTGAAGCAATAGCAGAGGCTCTACACACATTTAAGCAGTGGAACAAATCATGGAAGCCACAGTTCTTTATGACCGACTTAAGTGAGCAAGAAATTAATGTTGTTGAGAAATTTTCCCAGGTATGTAATGAATAAATTATTCATACATCGCAGCTTCAAAAAGTAGACCAAAAACAATAACAGTGATAATAGAAATAACAATGATGGAAATAATAAATATTATTATAAATATTAATATAACAGTAATAATTATTTAAATTCCCAAAGGGATTTTCGAAAAAACTGTTAGGATATCTAAAATAATACAATATTTGAATTAACCCCTTAACCCCCAATATCCACATACAAATTCTCCACATTGATCTTCACACATTTCCTCAAAGAACTAGTGGATAGAACGTGTTAAATGATCAAAACATTTTCTCTTTGGAGATCATTTTACTCATTATCATAACCTACTTTATAATGTATTGATATTATTATGAGAAAATTGCTGTTCATCACCCTTGTGACTTAGATGGTATAATATTTATTAAGAAAAATTTTCACTGAAGCAAATGAGTACAAATATTTATGGGAAGGAATAAAAAGTTGATTTTTACATTGTAGTAATATCTATTAATTCCTATCCAGGCACTATACTATATTTATGTGACTTCCACCGTGAACAAGCATGGGAGCAATGGGTGTCCAAAGCACCCAATGGTGTCAGTGACTGCAAAGAGGAGGTCCTCACTCACATACGAAGAGTTGCCCATGCCAGCTCATCACCAAAGTATGAAGATGCAGTCAAGGCCTTGATGGCAAGTTCTGTCTGAGTTGAGAACCCAAAGCTGCAATGTTGGTTTCAAAAAACATGGTCGAGTCATTACAAGGTATACAAAAAAAGAAAAAAAGAAAAGAATTATCAGTACTTGATTTCTATGGATGAGAGAAACTGACAACTGATGTTTCAATACTAAACAACAGTAAATTTTCGTGTATGGGTATTCCGGTGTGAACACTTCATTCTTGGTGTGAACACAAACAATGGACTGGAGAGACAAAAACAAGTCTTCAAGTATGCATACCTTCACGACCACAAAAATAACAGGTTGAGTTGAATGTTGACCATCCTCAGTGAAGAGTTCCTTCCTGACAATTACAAAAGGTAGGAATTAAACAGCCTGCATTAAACATTTCATTATGATATAGTAATGACAAGAACTGTGATAAAATTCACTCGGAATAATCCTTAAATTTGACATTATAAACTCACACTATAAAAAATATAAAATAATAATAAAATAAAGATTCAAAATGTTGCAGGAAACCCTAAATGACATTTAAAAATCTGACTTCCCTGCAATTATTTTGATTTTTATTTAAGGTATGTGGAGATGAATGTGAAGTACTCCCAAGGATATCGCAAGTATAAATCAGACATTCCTTCATTTTTAGTGAACAGGCCGAGAATATTAGTTCT